GTTATGTTAGTTATGATAGTTTAGTTATGATGTAAATACAATAAAAATTAAACCAAGACTTAGAATAATTACAGTATCATGTTGATCCATACATTAGTAATGTGTGACTGGGCCTCGTGTCACTTTATGTTCAATAAATTGGGCCCTGAGGTCAAAAAGCTTAAGAACCCCTGCACAAGATTTCTTGTCTTTACTTTGTTTTGGTCTCTGACTCCAGTCAGGTTCTTACAACATTACAGCAGTCACGCCTTATCGTAAGGCCTTGAGCTAAAACACAAGTAAAACAGCCAACAACTTCTTTCTCCCCTTCTATAAGAATGAAGTGACCTTTATAATGCATTTCTCTTCCTGGTTCAGAACCTAACTCATTCTGTTTAGACTGAAAAACAGAACAGAAGAGAACCCACACACCAACTCTGTCTGCTTTAACCTTAAGGCTGCAACGATCAGAAAGTAAAATTATTTTTAAAGAWTTTCAATGAAACATACCTGGGATTATGTTATAGGTCTTATCACATTTTGCTGAATATTTAATTTGAAAACATGGTGGGTGCTGGACTTTAAGTTAACCGAAGTTAAAAGAAATAGAAAACAGGGAATGCAGTTTTGCCCCTGGCACGGGGGGCTCAAGAGGTGAATATTTCTTGTTCCAGGTTTCAATTAAGCCTGAAAAAATCTAAAAAAACAACTAAACTAAAAACAGAATAAGAGCTGTGGACTGTTATCAGCTTCAGTATTGATAACAATCAAACTGAAATTTCTTACTTGTGGCAGAAACTTTTCCCTAAATTAAAAACCTGATACACAAAAAGACACACAACACCCACCTGGCTAGTTTGCCCTCTCTGTATGTGCGTCCCCACGGGTGCCTGTGTTTCTGCAGGGGCCAGACGTCCGGCAGCCAAAGGGTTAAGGACCCCTCCATAATTTCTCCCTCTGCACACGCCGGCTCCGTCTCCCGACAGTAATAACACTTTCCATAGAAACACGTGTTATTACCTAAAGACAGAAAACAGGAACAACACTGAACAGAAATTCACTCCAACATATTTAGGGGAAAAACGGTGATACTTGACGATAAATAAGTTCCAAATAAACAGGAAAAATCAACAAAACAGGTCCGGAAGAAAATGTCTGTAAATAGTTTCTACTTAACAAAAAGTCAGGTGTCAACTTTTAGAAATATGGACAGATTAAATCTTCAGTACATGACTACATTTACCTTGTGGCAATCGTTTGTATTAAAGAGTGAAACAACACTTTTTACCTAAAAGAAACATTTATTTCAATTAAACATTTTTGTTATGTAACTCTGTGTACCACCTGAAGGTAGGTTTTACTTTGGCCAACAGTAGAAAACTGTGATTTATAATCGTTAGATGAGTAAATAGAGAAAGAAGTTCTAAAGGTTACAGAGTAAATTTATTTTTTGATAATTTTGATGCTTCTGATACTTCAGATTTTACCTTGTAAATGTTTACACGGTGTGCCACAAAACTAAAGAGAATTTAAAATAAAATCATATGGTTTGATAGGTTCACAGTTCTTCTGTTTGAAGTCTTTCTTCAGGTTCATCTGGAAATCTGATCTGAGTGTATTTTTATAAAAATCTCAGACAAAGCCTTGCTTTACTTAGTAAACTTACTTATTACTTAGTAACTACAAAGTAACAAGTAAATAAAACCATAAAACGAATGTTCAAACACACATTATTTATTTAAATTTCCAAGTAGACAGCCGTGTTTTCTCTTAAAATCATGATCAGAGCTCCTTCATATTTTAAGAGTTTTAATTTGGACTTTATTTCCTAATTTTCAGTCCAGTCTTTGTACCTGACCATAACAGCATATTGTGCAATTTGTGCTTAAAAACAATAAATAAAAAACAGACATGTGAAGGACAAAAGAAAAAGTCAGGCCTAAAAATAAAACCTACGTCTTTATAGCAGATGAAGAGAAACTGACAACAGAAAACAAGAACAAATCACCGACAAAAAAACAAGTCAAGCCCACATAAATTACCAACTGAGCAAACTACGACTTGAATTCCCTCTTTAGTAAAGTCTGAAATGGAAATGGAGGATGTTATTATAGGAAGTACATTATATCTTATGAAAGGCCGTCACACTATAACGTTTTAGACGACTTGTGCCAACTTGTGAAAATTTTGTCAMACTGAAGATGTCTAGCTGTGTTTCCATTACAAATGTGCGCAAAACTTTGTCGATATTCTGTTAATGTCAAAAAATGTTTCACAACTGCAGTGTTTCCATTAAGTAAGAAATGTT